CATCCATCCATCCATCCATCCATCCATCCATCCATCCATCCATCCATCCTATTTTTACCCCACCTTTCTCCTTAAGAAGGACTCAAGGCAGCTTACCTCATTAAAAGACGGTATTTAAAGCCAAAACAGTAAGTAATCAAATATAAAACTGGATCAGACAAACACCACTCTTAAGAAAAGGTAAACAAGATCAATGGCAGAAACACATTCCAAGCAGTAAAGCACAACAATCTGTTTAAAACTCCACTCAGGCAGGCAGTCACTGAAAGAAAGCTCGCATGAAGAGAAAGGTCTTGGTCTGATTGTGGAAGGACAGCCAAGATGGGGTAAGTCTGGTCTCCAGTGGGAGGGAGTTCCAGAGTCTGGGAGCAGCCGCAGAGAAGGCCCTCTCCCACCAAATGCATATGTGAAGGCAGTGGGGCCGAGAGAAACGCCATCAATAGCCTCATATTTGATGAACATCCTATTGTGTAGGAATCATAAATAGGAGCTGACTGTCCTTCATGAATCTCAGTGTTGACCTAGAGCTGTCATGATCAGGTTATGTAGGGGCCATCAGGTCTGTCCTGACATATGGCATCTCTTCCCATGGTTTTCTGGGTACAAAGTATTCCGAAGTGGTTTACCAGTCCCTCCTTCCAGTAAGGTGCTTTGGGATTGTGCAGCTAGTCTGAGGCTGCCCGGGCTGATATTTCTTTCAGGAGATGTACCTACCAGGGAGCCAAATTCCCAAACATGCTCCAACATCAGTGCTTCAAACCACTGAGCTGTGCAGCCATTGTGATGAGTGGCCAGGTAGCCACTGATAGGGGAGATGCTCTTACGTTTCCTCCCTCTGATGGTACTTTTGTTGCATTTTCTCCAAATCTCGAGTAGAGGGGGTGTTACAAACAGGATAATGTGTTTGTCGTTGCTTCTCTGTGTGGTGTGAAATTAAATAGAGAGTAGAGAAGATGGCTACTGGAAGGTGATCAAGACAGTCATGGAGGTGAGAGCCAAATCCTGTGAGAATCAGTGGAGGGAGACGGGGATGCTTTGCCCGGTGAAGAGAAATTTGAGAGCTGACAAGACAGACCTCTTGCAAGATCAGAAGAGCAGTTAACAGAAAGAGGGAGCTTCTTGTGTTCTTCTGCCCCAAGGAGCAGGACTCAAAGCCGTACCTCAAATGACAGGAAATGAGGTTTTGACGGCAGATTAGGAAGACCTTAGTGGCAGGAAAAGCTCTTTGCCAGGATAACTTGGAAGGTAAACTGCCTTTTGCTGGAGGTTTCTAAACAGGACTTGAACCTATCGGGACCTAAAAGGATGTATCAGGGGTTGCTTGAGCGGTGGGTTTTCCTCCATGGGTGGGAGGTTGAACCCTATGACGCCCTGGGGCGTCTTCCAACTTTGTACAGTTCTGTGGCACATTTTCACAACTATGATCCTTTGCTTGAATCTTGTTACTATTTTCCATTGCACATTCATTATTGCCTTCACTATTGCCCAGACACGTTCACTGGGCTTTTTTGTAGTGATCAGACCTCTCAAGAGGCAGTAGCTAAAGGCTTCCCTGCTAAAACCTTTCCTACAGCAGCTAATATACCCTCCCGGTATTGTCAGCCACTGGGAGCATTCCTCAATTGTCCATTTCCCAGGAATATAAACAGCTTGTTTCTTCTTCAGCCTTTGCAGACCTTCCCAATTTGATGCAACATCTGGAAACCAACTTTAAGTACTGGAAGGGTCTTGATGACAAGAACCTACGGACTCTCCGACCACCGACCGAATAGCGACGGGGGGGTCTGTCAGGGTGCACACCATCCATCTGGGGAAATATGTTCCTTCGAACTTGCATCTGATCGTGCATTTTGAGATTTATTGTGGTCTCTTCAGTATTACTGTCATGTCTTCCTGTCTGTAGCCTTGGGGGAATTTCAGCGTTGGAGAAAGCCTTGAGGTCAGATGGAAAGAACTCTTGGCTAACTGCCATCATGGGAGTGCAGAAATCAAGTAAGCCTTCAGAGCTGAATTACACTGGATCGCTGTGATGCCGGAACTGAAGAGAGCTTAAAAGGGAAATGGTTTCCTCCAGAAAGGGAAGAAGAAGAAGAAAAAGCACGATTTGCAAGCAGACCTAAAAAAAAAAATCCATCCACAGCCGATGGCATATAACGATTATGAGGATGCTTTCTAATGAGCACTTAAAATTGAACAGTTACACTGAGCAATCAAAATATTGGACCTGCAAACTCTTTAGGAAGGAGGATTATTTTTTGATCTTCTGAAAAATGGACATGGCTCAATGTTTTTGCTTCGGTCACAACACATAAGGGGTGATAATTCACTTCTGAACACTACCAAGAGGAACTTCTCTCTCAAATAAATTTAGTAGCAAATGGAAAGCAACCAAGCCAACCAACCAACCCACAAAGTCAACCTGCAGATTTTTTGAAGTTGATTGTTAGGCCTCTCTGATTAAAATATGTTTTATTTATTTTGTTAGATGTTCAATATTTTCTATGAATTTATAAAGACTTTAAAAGCCAAAGCCGACTTTAGATGCATTACAGATTTACATGATTCATACACGTTACGCATTTTATTTTCATAATGCAAAATGCTGTACAATGAAGACACATTTTTATTGCACTGTAAAGATAGATGTGTATGTTGAAATATGGTTCAATTTTATGTTAATTAAAACAAGTTTTTATCAAATGTTTTTTTTCTGGACAGCTGTAAAATGAAATGAAGCATCGCTGGCCAAGCAGCAAGATGAGTGTCTGATCTGATATTTACCAACCTTCATCAGTACGATTGTTCAGAAAGTTTAGGTAGCTGCTGGTGGCTTGGCTTTCTTTGTTCTCACAGAAGAGGGCAAAACATTTTCAAAGATTTTCTTTTTTCCAGGTGAGACTCCAAAAGGTGTGTGTGTGTGTGTGTGTGTGTGTGTGTGTGTGTTTGTGTGTGTGTGTGTGTGTGTGTGTGTGTTTGCTTTCTCTCTCAATCCCTCTCTCTCTTTTGCATTCTTGTGACAAATTTACAAATTTGTGAAAGCGGGGAGGAGTTGCACAGAAGGTTTAAATTTTGCACCAAAAGCACAGGCTGGAATCCTGTAGGTTATGCCATGTAAAGCTGGTGATGTCATTTGGCTGGGATGAGTTTTTGGAAATTGAACATTTCCTACTTCTGTCCCAAAGAAACCCTGGCTCCTATGTAATATTTTACATCATCAGAAACCTTTGGGGGCTGTGGGACGGGGAGGAAGTCTTTAATTACTGGAAAATGCTGCTACAGGGTTATGGGGCTTTGGATCAGGGTGTATAAAAGTTTACAAATCACATTTGGGGAACTGTTTAGCAAAGAAAAAATTCAGCTGCCTATCCATGCATCTATGAAATTGCATTTTAGGGAGGATAGTGGCTATTGTGTTCAGAATCAAGTTGTTGGAGAAATCTTCCAAGGTGAGGACAATGTCCTGCTTCAGGGAAGGGCCCATCGTTCAGTGGAAGAGTCGGTGCTTTGCTAAGGCCCGTGTTCAGCTTTGTTCATCGGCAGTTCAAGAAAAGAATGGGTAACATCTTTTCAAGGATACTTGGGGGAAAGGAACTATTTAAGAGTAGTGACACAATACTGGTCTTGAATATTAATGTTCTCCTGGCTACGTGCCCTTGTGTTTCTGTGTCTTCTGCCTTCAAAATTTAAACTAAACATGATTTGTCATTCTTTCTGGCAGGAAGTAACGATGGTTTATTTAAGCTTGGGGTGAGGAAAGTGTCCCCTTCCAGTGGTTAGACTCCAGATCCCATTATTGTGGGCCACGGCCACGGTGATTGCAGCTGATAGTCACTGTGGGAGCTCAACAACAACAACTGCAGGGCTGTAGGCTTCTTCTCTTTGCTTGAAAAGTTTTGAAGGAGAGGTAGGATAGACACCTGTCAGGAATGCTTTTGCTGTAGGTTTCCTGCATGGGCAGGTGGTTAGACGCAAGGAGCTTTTAGGTCCCTTCTAGCTCTTCAAGTCTATGATTCTATGAAACCAAAGATGGGGCAAAGCAGTGCAACCATCCAATGTTATAGGACTTCATCTCCCAGCATTCCTCACCATTGATTATGCCAGCTAAGGCTCATGGGTTTGCAGACCCAACAGTCAGAACCTTACATGATGTTCACCATTGCTATAAACGATTTCCTTGTGAACCCTCAAACCAATCATGATTCTGTTGCATTCCAGTCAACTGCCTGATGTTTTTTATACTTAACCCTTCACAACAAACTCTTCTCAATTTCAGTGAGGTTTCTGTAGGGAAAAATGGTGCTGAGCAGATTGTGTCTTGATTTACTTTTCTCTCCCTGTCATGAAGACAGAAGCAAGAATAGCAATGAAAAATAATTCAGCAGAGATGCTCATAAATGTTCCATTTTTGGATCCCCACATCTTGTCAGTTCTCAACTTCCAGAAGACTCGGGCAGTGCTGCCCGTGGTCAGAGATGACGAGAGCTTTTTCAAAACACAGATTTTTAAGACACATCAAAAGTGTTGACCCATTCTTTTCAAGCTTTCCCCTTTATTTATCTTTAAAATTCTCAAACGAGTACACAGGCATCTGAAACTGATCCTTTAAAAATAAACCATGGAAGCTTTCTTGTCCCTTTGTTCTCAGAGGTCACTGTCCCCTGGACTTTGACCTCGCTTGGCTTTTCATTAATGTTTATTTCTTCTTAATCCTCATTTTTGAAGCAAAAATTATACAAGAAAGGCTGCTTGGTGACGTCAGAGACCTGTTGTGCTTCGGGTGTGTTGTGAGAAACCCAGAAGCTTCCCATGTTTCTAGAAGTTCATGTATATTAATAGCACTAAAACCCACATTTGTTTTTTTTTACAGGAGCCAATGAAATGGCTGCAAAATGTATTTGAACCCACAACACAGAATCCTTCTGATCCTGTATCTTCCCCTTCCATCCCTCCCTCACCACAAGCCTACAGCAGAGGCCATATTTTATTCAGGGAGAAACTATATTTTCATCAAGAACAACGAACTATCTATCTATCTATCTGCCCTGCTTTAGGTTTGAGGGTGTTCAAGACTTTCTTCCTTTAGGGATAATCTTTTTGGGACCCAAATGTTCTTTTCAAAACATTCCAAGGGGATAGCTCTGATAAAAATGCATTTCACAAAAAACTACCAAAAAAACTCTTCCTGATTCAGCAGCAGGTCAGACTAAATGACCCATGGGGAGCGTTCAAACTCTAAAATTCAAGGTGACTGTGGCACCTTGAAGAAAAGGCTTTTATTGTGCACAATTTATGAGGAGGCGGATCCAGGTAGAGACTACTCAGGTGTGGTTTTCCATTCCCTTCTTCTGGGGTGGCCTTGGGCTGGCTCTACTTGCAGGAGGCACAAAAATGGAAGGTGTTTGGTAGCCAAAATTGAGGTGCAGGGATGGTACACAACCAACTATTCTCAAGGTGCCTGAAAGCAAAAACGGGCCATGGATAGCTGATGATCAGAATGGAAAGCCTCTCCATGTGGTCCAGGCAGGCTTCGGAAATACAGTTCCCTTTTCAGGATCTTCTAAAAACACTGAGAAAGAAAAAATAACTCTTTCTTTCTTTCTTTTAACAAAACTGGTTGCATACTTGCTTTCTTTAGTGAATCTATTATATTATGATAGCCATTTCCCCTTTAAGAATTCCCTCTCTCTCTCTCTTTCTTCCACACCTGTAGCTGGTTAAGACCTATGAGGAGAGCATCATTTCCTCCCTTGTTTTAGTTTGTTCAAGCAAAGGCAAAAATATACAAGCTCCTTCCTGCGAATTTGTCAGGAGAGATGTAAGTAGGCAAGTTTTAAGATTCCCCCCCCACTTCTCTTTCTAAAGAATTATATGTTTAGAGTTTCAATTCTTTTTGGAAGTGTACAAGAATCTCATTCAGTTCCCATGTGAGCCCATGTGGCTGGTGTGTTATTTTGAGCTGAGTCCAAGTAAGGTTGTAAATATGCAGTTAATGAAAGACTGATATGGGTCTCTTTCTCTCTATTTTTTTAAAAGGTAGTGATTGTGTGTCATAATAAGAAAATATAATTCTTGTATAAATCAGAATAGGTCATTCTAACATGTGTTTATCAAAGGTGGGAGATAAGAGGCGTACGGCTGGACTGTGTTATAAGAAAAACACCCTGTTTCAGACCTAGAGCTTTTGATTGCAGTGGCTGACCTGTTCTGGACTTTGCGATGTGAGAATAGCAATTTTGTAGGCATAGTAAGCCATTTGCTGAGCAAAGCAGTACAGTAGTGGTAGGGCGGTGGTAAGTTGGTTGCTGGTGAAAACACGGGCATTTTATTTCTGGTGAAAGCAGTGGTGCTATTGAGGTGATGCAGCTGTTGGACTTGTGAGTAGAACTGAACAAATTTGTCCGTTTTGCACTCTCCTACTTTCAAGTTTTGCTAATTTGTGAGGGGGGAGGGGAATCTGGTCCATGATGGAGCAGAAAGAAATATCTCGCTTATTTTGAATGCTGGTGTTTGGTTCCCACAAATGCATGATCTCACCATAGGTCTTGAGCTGCTTCTCCTGCAGACAACAAGATAAGTATAAACCTTTCAAATGATTTGTTTTCTGGCCATGAGAACTTTCCCACTAGCTTTAACTGTGCAAATGTTCTCCCTGGCCCACTGCTGAGACCAGAACGTCTAAGCTCCGGGAAGAATCTGGGGATACACCCAAGCAGTGAATTTGGGTTACCAAGGGGAGTGTAATTTGTTTGGATTCAGCCTGAACTCGTTCACCCTCATGCAGTCTATGAGTGGCTCCCACCACTGGTTCACCACCCAAGCAACTTTCTAAGATTTAAGAGCTAAGAAAGCTGTAAGGAGCCTGCCCCACGCTGCCCGATGGATGGACTGGCCATCTCAATGCTTCTTTGTCCCGTGCTTTTGCGTGTGCTTTTGTGTGTGCACAAACAACCACCCACAGAGTAAGGCAGTTTTTGTTGCTGAAAGTCCTTGTTTCTCCCTGTAAAACAATTTCCAGGGGCTGGTAGAAGGTTTGTTGTGGAGCAGCAGGGGACAGTATCAAAAGGTAATGTTGACACCAGTATGAAATAATCCAAACAGATTCATCATCTTGCGTGGGTGGAAGAAAGAAAGGATGCGGCCGAGTGGATGACAGTCCAAGCTAAACAGTTTAATAATAAATATACTTTGAACCACATCAGAGCAGAAGCTTAAGCTAATTAAACCTCTCTGACATCTTTAATACCAGCTTAATAAACATATGATGTGTCTAGTTATGTTCATGACATTTTGTGGTCAAAACCTATGCATGAACTAATTACCCTGCGCACAAGCTCTCCCACGCAGGGCATTGGCTTGAAGGCAAGCGTAGAACCTCAGCGAATCGTGGCCGATGAAGTTGCTCGAAACTGCTGGGTCTGAAACCCAGTGTCCCCAGTATTTCTTTGGTTGCCATGTTGTGTGGATCACCAGTGGTTCAAACTGTAACTTTATTGTGGTGATGCTCAGCCTGTGGGGCCTTTTGGGGGTGAGGCGCATGGAGCCTGAAAATAAGATCCATGCGTTCCTCTCCTGCCAGTGGTTGGACTTGGGGCTAGCTGTAAACAGTGTTGCGTTTTATCCAGAACAATTTTCCAGGTTTTTCAGCAAAAGCTGCTGCTTTCGTGATGCCTTTCCCTATTCATTTTAACCTGAATGATCAGCAGTAATAACGTATATGTTTCATTCCTCATTCTGTGGCCAAAGTATTCTAGCTTCTGCATTTTAGTTCTTGTTTGATTGGTTAGTTTTCTTTATTCATTTGGTCGAGTACCTCCAAGCACTACCATTTTTTAAAAACATGGAAAACATGGGGGAAAAAAACAACTATTGTTTTCTTAGTACACCACAGATTGTAGCATCTAGTGATGTGCTGTAGTGTGTCTTTTATCTTTCTTTTTCATTATGGCCTCATGTGGAATTTGTTGTGTTGAGATTTGTGCCCTTACAAACCCTGTTTAAACCTCCTTTTGCTAAAATTTACACTTCCCAATACTGGAAACCCTCTTTTTTTTTTGTGGTGGTGATTCTAGTAGGCTGTTGAAAGGACGCCTCTCCTCATACCTATTCCAATTCAGAATAGACTCTTTTGCCCCCTGCCAGATAAGTTACTCAAATAACCGGTTGAGAGCAACTTCGGTTGCATTCACATCCTCCTCTTCCCATCCTTCGTCAAGCATGCTCAGAAGGGCTCCGATGGGTTGCATGTTAGCTATGGTGTTTCAAATAAAAAGTTTTGGGAAGTTAAGTTTGAAGGGGAAAGGCACGAGATACTTAATTTTATCAAAAAAGGACCCCCCTTTTTTTTTTTTAAGGGTTGATGAATTTTGCTCTGGGCAGAGCAGGAGAATTCTGGAATGACTCTCTCTGCCCATGGCTTGCTTCTCACCATCTAACAAGGCCACAAAAGCTTTCAGCTCCTGTTAGCACTCGAGGCCTTTCCTTAGAGATTGGTGGCATAAGTGTTGCTCTGACAGAGGTTCCTTGAAAGCTTTCGCTGTACCAGGTTAGGGGCATGAGGACTGGAGACTCTAAAACAAGCATCCAGCTGACTGGGTCACAGCCTTCCTTATACAGATGAGATGTCCACTATCTTGATTAAATTATTTTAAAAATCCATGTGTTACCGAATTCAGTTTTATAACTTAAATCCTAAAAATTAAGCCTACTTTCCCATTTGTACAAAGCCATTAAAGGGCTGTTGTAGTCTACTGGAGGTGTGTTGTTCTGTGACCTGAGACTTGAGTTCAAGTCTCCATTTGGCCAGGGAAAGTCACTGAGAGGGGAAACAGGAAACCTCTCCTTGAGCATCTAACAGGCCTCAAAAACTGCATTAGGGTCATTGGGAGTCAGAAACAGCTTGACGCTGCATTAGCAACCACTTATAAAGGAGCACGTGCAGTTAAATGGAAATGGGTGTCCTCTTTTGTCCTTCCCTTGGGGAGGATGATGTATGTCGCTTAGCAACGTCAGAAGGCTGTACGTGGCCTGCCCAGATCTAAACGACGAGAACATCCTGTGGAAGAGAAGTGTTCTGTTATGGAAGAGGAGAGACCACCATGTATGTCTTCTGTTAAACCAGGAGATGCTGGGGTGTGTGTGAAATATGGCCTTCAGATTTGCCAGCGTTGCCCACACCACCCTAAACGAGTCCTACTTGAGAGGCTTTTGCCAAAAAAAGAAAAAAGTGCATTATTAAAATTCAGTTGGTAGGATCATCTTTTCCCCTGCTGGGGCTGGCGTATTTTTAAGGCTGCCTTATAAATCGAAGGTCCTCCTGGGTGTTGTCATTTCCCCCCTCAGCTGTACATGGGAAATTGAATTGTTCGTGTTATTTCCATGGTCCAAGGCACTGTTGAGTAATCGGGATGGTGGCAAACACCTCAAACTGAAAACAGCCTGACAGATCATGGAAAAGCGGGCCGTTGCCTCAGGTCGGGGGTCTTTTATGACAGGACGGCGGGGATCAGCTCCAGGGCCAGCCGGTCTGTTAGGGACCGTAGCCCAGTTACCTCAGGCGATAGACTAGGGAGGCGTTGTGAACGAGAAGCCAATTGTGGGTTATTTGACTTATTTAATTTGGTTGCTGTATTATCATGTCATTTGTTACTTATTTACTCATCATTCTGCTAATCTCTGGCATTTATTTTCCCAGTCAGCTCGAATGGCTCTCCTCCTTCCTCCACCCGCACTTTATCCTCACACACCCCCTTGCGATTTAGGCCTGGATGAGAAAGTGTGGTAGGTTCAAGGGTCTCCTGGCCGAGTGGGGGGATTTGAACCCGGGTCTCCTGGATCCTAGTTCAGTCAGCACTGGGGACCCTGACTGGACGTTCGCTCTTGGCCAGCGCCTCCGGCTTTGAGTGCCGAGCAGCTTTACTCGTTTGGGACGGGGAGCAATTTTCTGGCACCCTCAGGCACCAAATTGTGCTGCGTAGAGTCTGGTTTCCCCCCTCTCCTCCATTTCCCTCTGAGTCCCAAGTGTTTGCACCAAAAAGGATGATGCTGTTCCTTGAGAGCAGTCGGTAGAGCCTAAACACCCTATTTCTCCCTGTCAATATTTGATGCTTTTGCTTATGGTGCTGCTTTGCCTCTCTTTCCAGCCGAGCTTTTCCCTCTTCTGAGGCAGTAAATAGCACCATCTTGTGTACTGTGTCCTGACACAGCCTGGCCGTCAAATGGGCTCCTACAGGAAGAGAGGATTGTGTGACTAGGGAGCTGCTATCACACAGGTTTGTTAAGCTCTAAGCCAGGGGTCAGGGAACTTTTTTACCTTTTACCCCCCCCCAAAAAAAAATTTATATACGCCGACATTACTGCCCTGATTTGAAAGGAAGGAAACCATACATTATTTGAATTAAAAATATTATTGAAACTACACAGGCTGTGTACCGAACTAGCAGGATGCCCCAAATTTGATAAAGATGTGCACTATTTTTGCTGGAACACATTGCACTCCAGCCATGGTGTGGTATGGAAGTTAGGAAGTTTTTCATGACAGCCAACACAGAATTGGGGAGAGGGCCTTTCTCTACCACTTTAATCATTCTATGTGTGGTGTGCAAAAAGGAACAAACCAGGCTAAAGGTCATGTCACCCACCCTGGTGCCACAGCCCAATATCAAAGGACCGGTGTGCTTTTTTTAAAATCATCATCAATGGAAAACTTAGCAGTGGCCAGAGGACTGGAAAAAGATCAGTCTCCATCCCAATCCCAAGCCTATGATTCTGCCTCTGGCAGCCGGACCTCCAAGGAGGACGACCCTGCGCTTTGAACAGGCCACCCCCAAAAGAGGAGGGCATGCATTCGCAAAACGAAAAAGGATGCCGTTTTGGAAAAGGCTACACATGCTAAAAAGGCACAATGAGAAGTGATTGTTATCATTAAAATGGCAAGCCCCCTGTCCCAGTTAAGGAAGACCATGTAGCCACATGAACTGTGTGGGTGAAGGGTTTATTCTGCAGGCATGGGTAAATAAACCCCAAAGCCCCTGATGCCCTCCCTTCTCATGGTTCTTTATCTTTAAATGAGAGCTAGACTGAGCCGCATTTCAAATGAGGTCCCAATCGGAAGGACTGCCCAGATTGTTGTTGTTGTTGTTGTGTGTGTGTGTTTTTTTTAAAGAGTGAAATGTGGCATCCTTCTTGTTGTTGTTGTTGTTGTTGTGTGTGTTTTTTTAAAGAGTTAAATGTGGCATCCTTTATTCAAAGCCCCTCGAGGAAGCCCTTTCTGTACCTTCTGATCAGAAAAACAGAACAGCATCCTTCAGGGGTAAGTTGAAGTATCAACGCTAGTCTTTTCTTGTAGGATCTTGTGGTTTGATGTTTGGTGGGAAACGGTTGCATTGAGCAGGATGTTGTTGTTGTGTGTGTTTTTTTAAAGAGTTAAATGTGGCATCCTTTATTCAAAGCCCCTCGAGGAAGCCCTTTCTGTACCTTCTGATCAGAAAAACAGAACAGCATCCTTCAGGGGTAAGTTGAAGTATCAACGCTAGTCTTTTCTTGTAGGATCTTGTGGTTTGATGTTTGGTGGGAAACGGTTGCATTGAGCAGGAGGGTTAGCAGGAAAGACAAACCAAGGGTCAAGGAAGAACGGTAGATCAGGAAGCCATGGGAGATGGTTGGGGACGGATTGGCTAAAGTACTCCATGTGCCACTGTTTGGTACAGATTTAACGTAACTCTGATTATCAGCTGCTAAGGATATAGAATACATGGCACCTTTAGCGCTGTGCGAGTGAGGTTCCCAGAGCCATCAGGTTGTCCGCTGTTGGAAACATCCTGTCACCCTCTGGTGGCGATTCTTCATCCCAGCACTTTTGGTTAGAGATAACTGGTTGGTAAAAGTTTAGTCGTTGGAATATTACTTTTTGGAAGGTTAACAGATCTCTGTTTCTTGACTACACTGTGTGAAAATTTTTTTTGCTAACCTGACTCAATGCTCAGAAGTAAGGGCTCTCCCTCCTTCTCCAACAGGACAGGGTTTTGTCAAGGGGCAGAAAACAAAAGGCGGAGACTGGCTGGGCCAAATTTATCTCCACAGAGCAGTTTTTTCCCCATTCATGGTGCAAAAAAAAAAATCACTCAGTAAGTTAGGTCTCTGTCTGCAGAGCCAGAGGTTGCGAGTTCGATTCCCCGCTGTGCCTCCTGGGAGAAGTGCCAGCCTGGGTGGCCTTGGGCCAGCTGCACAGTCCCAGGACATCCCCCTAGAGGAAGGGGATGGTAATACGCCTCTGAGTACTCTCTACCTAGGAAAACCCTGAGAAGGGTCAACATAAGTCAGAACTGACCTGACAATACACAATTATGTTTAGGTTATCAAAGTGTGGGGGGTTAACAAAATTCTGTCAGAGGAAGGCTAGGATATTTGGTGAAATGTCTGAGAACGTATAGTCTTTGCTGCAGAGACTTCTCTGCTAAGGTGGCTGGAAGCTATGTTTGAAAAACAGGAATTATGGAGCAAGATATTGAGGATGTGAAACCCACCTCAGCAAGAAATTGGGCAGGTGGCCTCGCTGCCATGTCCATAAACACACACTGGAAATACGGAAGGACTGGCTTCTTTTAAAAAAAATAAAATACAAGCAACCCACCCAGAGCTTTACGTTAGGGAAGGTCAGTAAAACAAAGCAGGAGTTGCATCTCTTTGCTTTGCTTTACAGCTCTTATTACTTTAATAATCTTAATCTTAGAACTGCGGAGCTAGAAAGGACCCAATGGATCATTGATTCCAGTCCCGATTTTAATTCATTTCATGCTGGGAGTGGGTGGGGACAATCATCCTCACAAACACAAGGAACAATTAAACCTTAGGCAATCCTTTTAAGAAGAGGAATGGTGCAATTGCCTTTTGTGACAAGTGAGGATTTACATCACTAGGAGATGCTAATTTTAAAAGAGGGTCTTTAACGCATGCACACATGGTGACAGCTGGCTTCATCTTCAGGGCAGGCGAGACTTGGTGCCTCTCCCCACTGGTGTATAAATATTTATAAACACTAATAAGCTTTGAGTTGTTTTTGAAACAGCTGGCAAAGAGCCAGATGGGCACACACTCACAGGGAAAAAAAAGCATCAAGTGAGGACAATTGGACAAAGGGCCATTTAGGGGAAAATAAATAATGTAGAGATGGGTGAGCAGAAATGGCCATAATGTTTGTGTAATCCTAACTGCACACCTAGGTTAAGCTGAGTGAAAGCAATTGGTTTTCAAGATGGCCCAAGGAAGGAGCAGCTGAATTTTCCCTGTCTAAAGCCCAGTGTTTCTTAAAAAAAATGTTTTATTTCCCTGGCACAGGACAGGGAATATGAGTGGCCACTTGGTTGATTAATGGTGGTTTGCTGCCACGATTTACACGAATACACTGAATGGCCAGTGGAATTCTGCCCAGTATTTCACACTTCATATTTTCATTGCAGCACCAGTAACTCAAGTGTATCTGCACTAACTCTTCCAGCTGTTTAATACTATTTTAACTGCTGTAGCTCTACCTGTGGAATTATGGGAATTGTAGTTTGGTGAAGAACTGAGAAGACTCTGCCAGGGTTCCGGGAATAATTCCAAATCCTTCAACAAACTACAAAAGCCAGGATTCCATAGATTAGAGCCATGTTACTGTCTACGTTGTATCAGACTGCTTTAACTTTGTAATGCAGATTACACTCCAAATGTCAAATCCACAGTAATTCAACAATGAATTATGGGAGGTGAAGTTAGACGTCTGGAGGACTGAATTTCTGAATATGTATTTATTTATTGTTTATTTATTGCATTTTATTCTTCTGTTCCATGAATGACAGGGCTCGGTGATGTAGAAAACATCATCTAAACAATTTTCCAGTATCTAAATTTCTATATTTTCTGCTATGTAGTGTCCAGTTTAATATTATGTCGGTTTAGTTTTAAATTTTATAAACCAGTTTTGAAGTATTTTTTTAAAGGCAAAATAATTTTAAAAGGCAAAATAATAAGGCAGATTGTTGATTTAGGGTCATGCAGGGGGCTGAAGGTTTGCTAAAGTTACAATATGTGAGTCAGGCAGGCTTTGTACCTGATCTTTACAGCAGAATCCTATCTATGTCTACTCAGAAGTTAGTCCTCCTAAGCTCAGTGGGATTTACTCTCTGGGAAGTCAGCATAAGGTCGCCGCCTTCATAACAAATCAGTGTACATAGGGATGGCAATGCCATTTTGAATCCTGAGCGTGCCGGGTTCTTCTACTGCAAAACAGGGGCACACAAAATCCCGGAAGAAGCTGTGGAAGGTATACAGATGTTGCCTGAGATCGGTGTTGAAAAACGACAGTGTTCCCCTGTCATAATCCAACAGAAGGCCAATCTTCTTGGGTGGAACGGTAATCCTGATGTCTGGTGTCATGCCGTTGTTCAGGAATTCATAGGTGTGTCTGTGAGCGTAAGAAAGAAGTCCTTCAGATTAAAAGAAATGGGAGCATTTGAGTAAGATTCTTGCTCCTTCTAGCGTTGACTGACTGTTTTAGGGAGGGTTCCTTCCCAGTCTTAAGTGGAGCCACTGGGAATTGAACCTGGCATGCATTCTACCTTTAAGCTATAACACTTCCCCAAAGTTGCTTGCTTTCCCTTTGTCTCCCACCAGTACTGTATGAACTCTCTGCAAATCTCTTTTTATGCTCCATCCCTGTAGAAAAGTAGGAATGTAGGTTCTGGCTCCTAACATGCCTTCTGTTCTGCTGTGAAAAGGTTTTTTTGGGGGGTATATGTATAGAGAAGTACAGTACTCCTTTTTAGGAGCCCTTGCTCTCTGAAATCCATAGTCGTACAGCACCAACCCAATTTTAGGGCACCAGTCAGAATCAGGACCTTGAAGGATAGTTTATGGCAAGGGAGTAAGGTGTCCACACTCTGCACTCAGTTCTAACCTTCGCTAAATATACAGAAAAATACATTTAGCCAGGCAAATGAAATACACAAAAGTTCCGAGCAGAAAAGGGAGCCACTCTAGATAACGCCTGTTTCTATAGAAATTACAGCACTCGGTCTACTGCCATTTGAGAGGTGACTTCCATTTCATGGTCCTGAGTTGTTTAGGGGCTGGAGTACATCTCTCCATAGAGCTGGTAGAGGCAACTCCGACTCCCATCCACCCTAGGTGGCATGCCCAGTGATCCGGGGATCATAGAACCTGTCATTAAAAACTAGAATTTAGAAGCTTAGTTCTAAAGGGGTTATTCCGTGGGAGGCCATAGAAGAGCCATAGCGGTAAGCTTTCTCTTGCTTGAGTTACTGGGAACTTACACCGAACCCCCCCCCCGGAGGAGTTTGTACCTGGAAGGGGCCGTAGCCGTGTGTCTCATGCACCAGGAGGAATGGCTTGCCCCCAAGTAGCTGTCCCTTGGAACGTTTTCAAAAGCCACACCGACACAATATTCAATGTTTTCATCCACATCTACCTCCCAGTAATGTTTCCCTAGGAAGGGTATTGGATGCCCCAATATGGCAATAGATCTGAGAAAAGGAAACATGTTGTGTAAGTTCGCAGCCAATTGGTCGTGTCAACTGGCCAAAATTCAGAAAGCTTTGTTGGTAGACTTAGTGGGACGGCTTTCTTCTGCCTATTCCCTTGTTACCCTAAATATCTGGAGCTCTGTCCAAAACCTAAGAGAAAGGGACTCTACATTTGAGTTTGAAATAACAGTGATTATTTGCACACTTAGAAAATGTTCAAGTTAATGTCATTTGCAAACGGTTACTTCTGCATCTAACGGGCGTAAAGGCAGCACTTTTACAAGATAACAGCTGGTAACTTCATTTGGTATATTTTCCTGTTAGCCCCTTTTATGGGTATTTTATGGATAACTTTTCCCATTTTAGACCTTTCCATTCTTTAAAAAAAATTATTGAGAGGGGAAAGGAGTTACAAACCAGCAAGTAACATAACAAATAGCAAGTTTGATTTTTTTCCCCATTTCATTTTATTTATATTTGGCAGCCTTCACTCAGTGGTTTAGGTCTCTGGGTGCAGAGCCAGTGGTTGGGAGGTTGATTCTCCACTGGTTCTTTTGGAAGAGCCAGCCTGGGTGGCCTTGGGCAAGCTGCACAGTCCCAAGATATTCCCAGAAGAAGGGGATGGTCAACAACTTCTGTGTATTATTCTTTACCTAGAAAACCCTGGAAAGGGTTGGCATAAGTCAGAATTGACTTGACGGCATGCAATTGTTATTATTACTGGCAACCAGTTATCTTTCAGTTATCAGTAACAAGACACACAGCACATTACTTTTCAGGAATTATTTTCCAAGCTCTGAAGGAAAGCAGATATTCAACTCCTTCATTGCTATTTTGCCCCCCAAAATGCCCATTCGCCACCTTCTGACCCTTTCCGGAAGTGAACTGCGCTCTCTCCTCCTAGAGGGTCAGGAGGCAAGGGGAAGCATCACCTGGCCTGACCTCTCCCCCTCCCCTCCCAGTCTATAAATGCACCGGATTCACTAGCTTTCTATAAGAATTACCCTCCCCCCATTGTCAGCGGTGCACTGTAAAAAGGAAAGCCATTTTGTCAGTTCTGCATGCCAAATTATGTTTGCACTCCCGTTGCCATAGCAATCTGGGCAACTTTTAGAATTAAGTGGGAGGAAGTGGGAAATGATCTCCCCTCCCCTCTAGTCTAGAGTCCTGTGACGCCTGTAAAATGACAGATCCCACAGATGGCTGACAGGCAGGGTCGTGTGATTCTGTTAAAAGCACCTGGGTTCTGGTGCCATCAATTCACCTTTGCATTTATTTATTTATTTATTTATTTCTCTCTCTAAAGTTTGTAGAACAAGTGTCATTAGAATTTGAGGGACAGGGTCCAGCCAGGTATATTTATCACTGTTCGTCTGGTGCCATTTGTGACCCTTTCTTTCTTCAGTGGGGACGTCCCTGGTGAAAGAAACGATCACAGATGTCACTGTATGAACCATACAGAGATTTAAAAAATGATACATAAGCAGTAAAAGCTATAGCTTCCAGCCACAGGATCCCTGTGGTGCTGAAAACTGCTGAAAGGCTAAGCAATAGAAGTGGGTCCCCAGATATTTCTGTTTTATTCCCTTCTGCTTACTCTGCACCTTTCCTCCTTGTTCCACAAGTTAAGACCTTAAATGTCAGTCATTTAAAACTGTTATTCCTGCATGGAGATGCCACCTCCCTCCTTTCACAACCCCGCTCGGCCACTTGAGTGAACGTGGATGAAGGATTGTTGAGAGCCTATAAGAAAAGCCAAGAGGATTCTCCCTTCTTGCTCCGTTTCTACATCCAGGTCTCGGCAGGTGTGAACTATATTGGAAATGCCGAAGAATGTGTTTTGGAGGAGGTTGTTAGAGAAGCAAAGGGTGGAAGGAAGCTGAGCCTATGAAGGAGGCAGCTCCTGTACCTTGTGAAACTGTTCTCACCGAAGGGCAAATCATTTCTTGGAGTCTCCGTTTTGCAGCACAGGACCGTGAACCCATCGTCTAGGACAGAGAGCAAGGGGTGTGCCGTCTCCGTTTTCAGAGTAAAGGAAGTGCCTGCAAGAAGTTGAGGAATGTTGGAATGGGTAGTAATCGTGATTGAATCCTGAAAACACAACGGACGTCTCTCTGAGACAACGCCATTCATGCGCCAACCGGCAGTGGTGTGGGAACTGCCTCCCTTCCAGATAATCTCAGGAAGCTTTGCGTAAATGCTGGGGCTGTAAAGTCAAGTACTCCCACTCACTCATAACCTATCCATTGGGTTGACGGACAAGTCAAAACGATACTACTGAGTGAAATGGGCTGGACGGTGATAAGGGTGCCCATCGGAGAGAGATGCTGTAGCTACAGAATCCCTGCATTTGCAGAGGCTTGGATGAAATGGTCATTCCAGTTCTACACTTCTGTGGTTCTGTACACCATGAGAGGAGAACCATGGGCCTTGTAGTTATTTCAAATGACAGCTGCCACAGTCTCTCATCATTGACCATGAAGGGTCACAAATGGCTGGGGTCAGAGGCGGAAACAGCCCCAGAGACCCAAGTGTTTCCTCACCCCTGTCCTCGCCAGGTGAGACAGGTTGGCACGTCACACCTACCAAAAGGACCACATTATTTTAGGCCTTGCTCAGCACATCACGGCGTATGTTTGCAAGTATAAATATGAAGTATCCTTTTATTATTCTTGTTACCTATGCTGAGGATGGAGACGGGGGCGCTCCTTTCGCTGGGGCCTCCCATGTTGAGGGCTCTCACGGAGATGAGGTAGTTCTGACAGGGCTCCAGCTGAATCAGGGTTTCACAGTTGGGAATGCCAACAATCGACCTGATTAAAAAGAGGGAAAAGGCAGAAGATATACTGGTGACAAAGGGGATCAGAAGAAGGGTGGTCTCATAAATGGAGATGAGGCGTAACAAAGACAGAGAGAGCGAGAGAGCGCCAGCCAGCCCCAGTGGCCCCCCCAAGCCCCCAGTTTTGCAACTCAGTGAGACACTGGTTGAATAGACTGGTTGACAGCAGTGATGGTGAGAGACGACTTCCACGATTGCCCTTCTGTGATTGCGTAAGTGACTAGGATTCTGGCCACGGTGCTCAGTGGGTCTACTCTTAACTATGACTGGACCTCATTCCCACCCAACATTATAAATAAAAACACAAGTAAAATCCCTGACCAAAGATACCAAACAGACACATAGGAAAAATATAAGCACGCTGTAGCAAAATCAGCAACAGTAAAAATAAAAAGCTGCTATCCGTCAAAATCCAGTTGAAACCCTTCACGGTCGATTTTTGGCAAAGGGCAGGCAGAGAGCTGTGTTTTTAAAAGACGTTAACAAGAGTGAAAGGAAGGCATTGGGTCCCTCGCATCCTTGACAACTTACTCCGTCATTATGTTCTCCTCCCCTCCATCTGTCAGCTTGGACAATTCAGCCGTGTAGGAGTCGACCGGATTTGTGTTCCCACACTCCCAACGCACCAGCGCTGCGTGTTCACAGCTTTGGATCTCTTTACTCTTGATAACAGGTGGCAAAGGAGCTAAAAAATGTAAACCAGATGCATCCCTGTGATGACATAAGCCGCCTTTGAACAGTGACTTACAAAACGCTCGGGAGGGCCGGCCCTACCTTTCGGCACAGCCGAGGCATCGGGGGCAGAGGCTAGGGGAGCTGTAATTGCATTCCTTCTGACCCCACACCCTTCTTCTCTCTTGTAGGGCAGCGCAGGATGAGCTGCCTCCACTCTCTTGTAGACCCATTGTGAGGTGGACCTGAGGGCAGCCGGTTAGGCCAGTGGCCAAGACCCACCGCCCACCTCTCTAGCTCCCGCATGCAGGGCAGAAGGGGCGCACCGTTTCAACTTCTGCCTTGGGTGCTGTGTCTCATTTCTGCAGACTTCATTTACTCCAGCACTTCGCAGGAGCCCCCTGCTGCAAATAATTCAACAATCTAGAGCTAGTTTACCTGTCATGTACACAGCGCTCTCGCTGGCCGAGCTGACCCCGGCTCTGTTGACCGCTTTCACCCAAAATTCATACTGCGTGTTAGGTGCAAGATGCGTGACTTTGCAATAGGTTTCTTTCACAGGTAGCATGAACTCTGTAGAAGAAAAGCACCAGGTTCACAAGTCATTCTAAAAGAGCCTATTTTCTAAACACACTCCTAAACGTTTTAATATTAGAGGGATCCTCTTATTCCATGATAGCGGGACAGTCTCAACAAGATATAAAGATTTAGGCCTATAAAACGTATGTTTGCAAAATGAAATCACGCCAAGGAATCTTTTAATCACAGAATACACTTTTTGTTTTAGGCATCCTTCAGTCTGGCGCTTATCTGATGCAATGGAAACAACACAGGAAAAGGAGTCTCGAGTAAACAGGGTTCCTTATGCCATTATTTCTGTCGTGGGGGCTTCGCCATCATTTTGCACCCTTGCACTAAAGCATTATTTTGCATCAAGTATTGTCTCAACGATTTTGGCTTCACTCGGACATTTCATGAACGTGTGAGGAGAAAGGTGGCATATATAAAAATATAATTAATTAATTAATAATTAATTAACACAAGAATGTGTTCTCATTCTCATCTCTATTCTTCTTTCTGTTAAGAGTGTCACAAAAAAAGAGGGGTCCATCTTATGACATAGCAGGAATGTTGTTGTGGGGCAAGCATGGATTTACATCTTCAAGAGGAATTGGACCACCCTCTCCCGGGACTTGCAAATGAGCTTGCTTTGTTTTGTGGTTGGGTCTTCAGAACTCAAGTATGGGGTTCTTCCGCAGTCTGCTTTCTCAAGCACAGCATTCTGCCTGAATCACATCTCTCCGACACTAATGCATTTTCACTTCTAATGGTGGGTTACCTCTAAAGACTGTTTCTGCCCACTGCAGAGGGCTGTCGTGTCGATCACAGGTTCGTGAAATGCTACCCAGACGACAGACAGCACAAAAAAACCAGAAAGGGTTATTTTCTCTTCTGTAAAATTACATCTGGCTTCCACCAGCTTACCAGTTTGCTCTTCTTTCGAAGTATCGTTGCTTATCCGTTTGTAGTACAGCTGGTAGCTTTCAACAAGATCTTCTGAGAAGAAACTCCAGCAGACACGCACGGATGTTCCTGTAGCTGAGTTGGGATCTTGGGGGTTCATGACGGGGGCGCAAGGGGGCAAAGGAGCTGAAATGAAGAGAAGAAAATCTCTTTACCAACTTTAGGTCAAAGCCTCTCAAATTTCCCAGCTCTGGTGTCAAGTCCTGACTACGAGGCTCTCTGAGAACCACACAGGCTGCCCAAAATCCCCAAAAAGGACACAACATGAAAACCAGAAGGTGTTAAAAAACAAAACAAAATCCACTTCCAGTTTTGAGAACTGGCTGTTTGGGGTCTCTGTGTGTGGTAAATGGAGCAACTTAATCTTGGAGCATTATTTTAAAAAAAGCAACACATTAGCAACTCCTCCCCCCCCCGCATCATATCAACACATTATTCATTATTTTAAGATGACTAATGGGCGACTTTTCTGATGTTTACTTTTTTACAAACACACCCTTTGAGAAGGGGGAAACAAGGATGCTTCTGCTGCTGCACAAAATAAGAGGTCTAAGTGCTTAGCCGGTTGCGTTCTGCTCCAGGGTTCTGCAAATCCTCAGGAATTCTATTCAGAATTAAGTTCCCCTTGAGCAAAACCTCCCACCTCCTTCGAGACCTGCTATTCTGCACAGAAATAAATATAAAGGAAAGACCTGGGACAGACTTAATGGAATCCATCAGTCCTTGAATCTCAGAGAAATCTATGACCCGGGCTTCAAAATCTGCTGGAGTTGAGACATTGACATCTACATCCCTTTTCAAGAATCTCTCCAATCTGTGAAAACCAGACACACACATACACACACACAAAATGACATTATACAGCAGCTTTAAGAGTTTTGGTTGGATGTGACTTAACGAAAGAAACAGCCATGCAATTTAGCGATATTAAAGCCACATATTAAAAACACCAGTTATTAAAGCCATTAAATACTATTTGAAAATAGAAATAACAGTCGTGTTGGAATTGCAATTTGTTTGGGCATGAAGCTGTTAGAAGGTGGAGATAAAATGAAATAAATAAATGTGATAAGACTCAGCATAGCACCCTTGAACATTCTCGATGGAAGTTTCTAAAAATTCAGCATATAATATTACCTTTGGATTATAGCCACAGCAGTCTAAAGAGTGGAGAGAAAAATAAATGAATGAATGAATGAACATTAATGTTATACACGTTTCCCTTGAGAGCAAAAAAGAATGATTATTTGGGAAAGGGGCATAACCCCCTCCCAAGATGATAAAACTACAAAGAGGAAAAATAAGTATTGCTCAGATAAAGCCACAGTGAAGAATGCCAGGTGAGATGGAATTTTTTTCTTTTACTCTTGCTGAAACACTGCTGTGATGGTGCTAAAACTCACCTCCAACATACATCACTCAGCAAAATTAGGGTGATCATTCAAGGATGTTATTTTCTCCAGGAAAGCACCTGCCTAAAAGCTGATTTTATTTGAAGATCACTCTACTTCTTGGGTTTGTTAAAATGCTAAATGCAGGGAAACCTTCCATTCCTTAAGGACACTGCGGACCTTCTCTGGGGAAGGAAAGAAAAAAACAAGGGCAGGAATAAGAGCATGGCTCTCATCTGCCTGCTGTGAACAGGCAGGCTAATTCAAGACACGATAATGGGTCACAAAAAAATAGCGTTCAGGCCACGGTTTGGCATCAGCATTAAACCCACCCACCAGAAAACCTGTAGAGGGACAGGTGGCATTTCGGATGAGCTGCATTTATCCCCAGGAGCATCTGTGACACTTTGTAAAGTATCTGGCCCTCTAATCGCACAATAAACCCACAGTTTCAATTCTGAGTTCTATTAAACATCTCTTGTTCAACTCAAGCTGTTCATTCTTGCCAGGTAAGAACGGGAGGGGGAACTGGCTTGGATCAGGCCAACCATGTAAGGGGGAGAGGGGACTGAACAGGGAAGCTTGCCTCCACGCCTGCACGGAGGTTAGAACTGAGGGAACTTCCACGATCACCTGTGAAAGGTTTTCATCTTCTTCCCTCCCTCCCCACTCGCCATGCAGAAAAATCTCACAACATACATCTCTGCCACCCACCCACCAGAAAACCTGTAGAGGGACGGGTGGCATTTCGGCTGAGCTGCATTTATCCCCAGGAACATCTGTGACACTTTGTAAAGTATCTTCTCTCTTTCTCTTGTCTTGGAAGCAAGTATATAATCATTATGAATAAATAAACAATGGCCAAAGAATTAAATATGTTTAACAGTATGCGGTCATTCTGTAACAACAAAGCCCTCCGACATGGCTCCTCTGCTACTTAAAGGGCAGGACTAACCGGGCCCTCAGAGCAGGGGTTCCCCACCTCGGATCCCCAGAGGCTCTCAGACTACGAAACCCTGGCCAGGGCAGCAGGTGGTGAAGGCTTCTGGGAATTGCAGTCCAAGAACATCTGGGTTACCCAAGGTTGGGAACCACGAACCGCTTTTGGGCCTGAGGACAAAAGGAAGCTCTCCCTTCCTGATCGTTCCCACACTTTCGGCCTCCTGACCTCGATCGCGTCCACTTTGTTTTCCTTCTGCCCAAGCTCTTCGATGGTTTCCATCAGCTCTTTGCAGGTGTCCAGGCTTTCTCCGCAACGGACCAACTGCTCGTACAGAGCTTCCAGCTTCTCCTTCTTTTCCTCCCCTAAAGCTTGCATCTTTTCTTCGTACCTTTGCTCCAGGGTTTGCATGATGCCTTCGTAACGCCTCTCGAAATTCTGCTCCTGCCTGGCAAAATTCTCCTGCAAAGTGTCAGCATTTCAAATGGATCTTAAGAGTTGATCACGCAAGCTGATTTTTAAAAAGGTGCACCCCTATTACAAACTTAGGTCGATATATACTGTATACCATAGCGTATGTAGCCTGCATACTGGAAACAGGTGTAACAGAGTGGAAAAATAAGGTGAATTTTCATGCAGCTCTAAGTTTAC